CGGATCAGAGCATCCCCGAGATCTTTCCTATCAGGCGTATATGTAATATTGATAAAGTGTGTGAACTTCATGTAAGCTTCGCAAAACTTCCTGCCTGTAAACTCTACTTTCTTTTCAAGGCGGTTCTCTATTTTCTCATAAACATTGTCCGCGAGTAATGATCTTAAAAAATCTTCAATAGTCACGAAACGGAAAATAATATCTGTGTCATCAAAACTCTTTTCTTTCTCGTTCTTTTTTTTGATACAACAATCCCAGGCATTGAGCAGTAATAACCTAGCTGTAAGCTCTCCACGATAACCGGCCTCTACTACGCCTTTTTTTAAGGCTTCGGAGAGCTGATTAATAAGTTCTGTGAGGCTGACATGTGGATCATTCATTATTCGAGCACTAGCCTCTGCCAGCACTGGTTCGGTAGGCATTGATGTAACAACGTATTTACGATCTTCTAAGATATTAATACAAAGACGCATATTATTTGCTATTAGATCAGGCGCATATCCAGATTGTGGCGCTACTTCGATACATAAACGGGGTCCAAGAATAGCCAAAGTCTCCAAAATATCAATTTTCTTTTGGGAATCTTTCAAATCTTTCTTCCAAACACTGAAAAATTTTCCGCCAATAAGTTTGTCCATGGCCAATTCGATAATATGTTCTGATTCCATTCCTTTAGTATCACTAGAAGGCATTAATAGCGCACCCCACAAAGGTCTTCCGTATTGAAAAAAATGTTGTGGATCTGCAGATTCCTTTAATGTCATTACTTTTTTAAAATTAACATTCATGTCCACAGTGTCTAACAAATAAAACGGCTCAAATAATATAAACCCTTCTTCCGCAACTCTTTTAGATGGATCGAGGTAAGAAACAGGTGAAAAGTTCGAAATGTTTGAATGTGTGTCTGTAAAGATTGCAAAAATTCCTGCTTCTTTGGGTAAAAGAATTAAAGCACGTCGAATGTAGTAGAACAGTGAGTTTTTTCCAACGCTCTTATTTCCATCATTCTTACTAATAAGTGTATGAGCTTCATCGAATGCAAACAGGTATTTAACTGAACCTTTTCGTTCTATGTGTTTTTTTTTAACTAAATATTTCTTGACCAATTCAGTCGTCTCGCTATCCTTAGAACATTTCATAAGGTGGGACTTGATATCTCCCATTCTGTTTTCAACATCTCTCCAAAATTTCTCTTGCGAAATTTTATTGGTATGCCAATCCATCCATTCCTTAAAATCTCTATCAAATTCCTGCATCTTTTGAAAACATGCGCATATGTATGCAAGGTAGGTAGCAATGGCTTCTTGTTCATTCATAAAATCTCTTACTAGTATGTTAGCAATATCCGATCTGAATGGATAACCACTTGATTTGGAGTCCCGCAAACAACAATATACAGTCATTATCTTTTCTGCAACATTTATCAATAATTTGGATTTTCCTGTGCCACTGGCTTGAACTAAGGTTGTGTATGGCGCATAATAACCTTTTATCGTTTCGTAATCATCTAGACACTTGTCGATAAATTTTATGAACCTTTCCGAAAGGTTACTTGGATCTTGAAACGTTCTACTAAAAGCTTTCTGTACAATTTCTTCGTCTTCTTCACTTCTAGGACGATATGACGGATCTACTAAATAGAATGTACAAGAAATAATTAAACCTCGCCAAAATCACTAATAGAATAATAATATCTGTAATCAACTTACTTGACAATTTATCCGCTTTTCCTAAATAATAAACATCAAGATAAGATTGCATTAATTCAGATTATTTGTGATCGGCTAGTGACTGAATATCATACCTTTTTTTACATCAGATA